CTTCTCCCGTTACATGTTGGTTCAAACAAATCTATCCATCATGTTGTCCTTTTGACCCTATCTTTAAGATGCACCTGCCTGTTCCTTGTTATCTCTGTGGAGTGTTCTGATGCCATCTTGGCACAATTTCCTCTTATTAGCACTTATGTGTGGATGCACCTGCTTCTAACAACCCTCTTCTCGCCAACTTCTGTGAGTGGGGCCTGCCTCTGGCTCACAGCCCAGCTTTTGCTTAGCAAAGCCTGGAAGTACTTTGGTTCAGGCTTCTGACACAAGAGTTTATGTTTCAGGGCCTCATCTTACTATAGGTGTGACGTTCCCCTCTGGTGTTATCTGGACCGGTGATCTGCTAGGTCACTCCAATCCTTGACTCGGGGAGCCAGCCTTACCCTGCACTGCTGTGAGAACCCCCACTCCTGGGCTGTTCATGCACAGCCTTTGACATGTAAGCTGCTCCCAGCTACTTTCAACCAAATGACACTAGCCAATATCGCTGGTCCCCGACACAACCCAAGGAATCTCCGTCTTGCAATGTCCAGTTATACCTGCTTGTACATGTACCAGGCTTGTTATCCCAAGGGCAGGGCCGGCTCCAGGCACCAGCCCAGCAAGCAGGTGCTTGGGGCGGCCAACGGAGAGGGGCGGCATGTCCGGCTCTTCGGTGGCAATTCGGCAGCGGGTCCCTCACTTCCTCTCAGAGCGAAGGACCCGCCGCCAAAGACTGAAGCGGCGGCGGTAGAGCTGATCGCGATCGCAGTCTTTTTTTTTTTTTTTTCCTGCTTGGGGCGGCAAAAACCCTGGAGCCAGCCCTGCCCAAGGGGATACGTATCAGGCTTGTTATCCCAAGGGTAGTCTCTGACACACTTCAAACCAAACACTCTGCTTCAGGTAGAATAAGCAAACAGATTTATTAACTATAAAGATAGATTTTAAGTGCTTATAAGTCAAAACAGAACAAGTCAGATTTGGTCAAATGAAATAAAAGCAAAATGCATTCTAAGCTGATCTTAATACTTTCAATGTCCTTACAAACTTAGATGCTTCTCACCACAGGAAAAACATCAAGGAGTACTTGTGGCACCTTAGAGACTAATAAATTTATTTGGCCATAAGCTTTCGTGGGGTAAAACCCACTTCATCAGATGCATGGAGTGGAAAATACAGTAGGCAGGTATAAATACACAGTACATGAAAAGGTGGGAGTTGCCTTACCAAGTGTGTGTGTGGGGGGGTCAGTGCTAACGAGACAATTCAGTTAAGGTGGAAGTGGGCTAGTGTCAACAGTTGACAAGAAGGGGTGAATACCAAGGGAGGAAAAATCACTTTTGTAGTGCTAATGAGGCC